AAAATCTTACTGTTCAAAAACTTTTGACTGGTAGTGTATATTTGTATGAAACATAGGTTTGTTAAATCTAGGGTATTTAAGTCATTTTAAGATAAATAACACTCTGTGCTAACAAATTGAAATGAGGTGGTTGTTTTCAACAAGGTGGACAGTTCTGCTCACATCAGTAGACCTGCTGGTGAAGAAGTGACAGGTAAGAAAAAAAAGGGAGAGACAGAGATATTGGGGAAAATGAAGAAAAGGGAAGTGAAGGTGCAGTGCAAGGCCTACAAATTAGTACCTTAAGGGTACGAATTACTACTCTAAGGTACTAATATGTTCCTATTAGGGGTAAAAAAGGTACAAAGATGTCCTTTTAAGAGTACTGCTACAGTGTCAATTTTGGCCCCTTTTTTTCTGTGACCTGGATGAGTGTGAGATTTCTCGGCCTGAAATTGCGTCCCAGTCCGGCCCTGATCATGAGACTTTAGGCTGTTATAAATTTAAGCCATCATTTGTTATAATCAGGCCTGTCAAAATTAGTGCATTAATGCAGGCGATTCATTTTTCCAGTTTAACGGCGTTAAAAATATTTAACGCAGTTAACGCAGGGGCGGAGCTAGGGTTGGCCACTCTCACAACTGCTGCTTCTGTCTCTTTTTTATTGAAAAGAATTGCGTTTATTTAGACGCACAGAACGTCTTTATGACGACATCAAACAAGAGACTTGTTTGACACGCACTTTAACTTCGCCTCAGCACCAGGCGCAAGTCAAACGAGCGCGGAAAAGCTACAGGTGAACTGCGGTCAGATGAGATGTTGTCAGGCCATATGTCAGTAAAAAATGAATCTTCCTGTCCTGTCAGCCATTACACTGTGCTCATAGTGCTTGCTGTTCAATTGCATGCACAAATACGGTGACTCGTGCTGTAGCCTGCATCATTTCATATTAAAGCGCGAATGAAACTATGAGCATGCATGTCAGATCCGCGTCACATTCAGCAGCGGCAGCTCTTAAAGTAATAGCAGCCTAATAACCCAACTGCTGTGATGTCTGTTAATCAAAGAACAAAAGAAAAAAGAGGAAATCAGTAACTTTTGTAGCTTTAAAGTTTCATCTATATTTAATTTAAAATGTAGTGTTTGATAGCTGTTCAATTTCTGTATATTTCCTACTTGCTGAAGGGCACAGGTAAATATGATATTTATTATAATGGGTTTATGTGAAGATTGTTTTTAGTTCACTTAAATTAGAAGTTGTTATTTTTTAAAGTCTAATAAATGTTAAAATTTATAGCTCTCAATTATACTGTAATGTTGAATGGCTATAATCAATGATTAAATATATGTAAAAAAAGAACAATTTCCTAGAGACATCAGTAGTGTTAGTATCAGTGATACTCACCTTCAGTCATAATAAAAGATGCCACTAAACATATTTTAAAAAATGTCTTTGTTTTTTATTGTCTTTATTGCTTATTAAAAAACTTTAATGTTAGGTGGGATTAATCGCGATTAATATCAGAAAAAATGTCTTATTAATTAGTAAATTTTTCTTTTATCGATTGACAGCAGTAGTTATAATGTTTGCAAAATGCTATTAAAAAAACTCCCATCAATTAACCCTCAATTAAAAAAAATGTTTCTCCAATAACTAGACTTAGACATGCATAGTTGCAGTGAATATTCAGAATATGTGTTTACATGACTATAAAAATTCTGATTAATACAGGAACATGCCGTAAGGTTTTACTCAGATTTCTAAAAAACAGAATATTGTCTTAATCCGGAGTTTAGACGGCACTTAAATAATCAGTAAATGACCAATTAATATCAGAACATTTGTGTTTATGCAAACACAGCCAACGTCTCTCCAGTCGACATTTCATAGTAAATGAATACATTACAGCAAGCATGTGAAAGCACCTGAGTCATGTTTAATCCATATTTCCCACCAGACAATTCCCTGAAATGTCTTCCTGCTCTGAGATGTGCTCTCTGGACCAGACAAACGGTATTTCTGGAAAACCCCAGGAGGGGTAAAGCCCATGCGTCAGGGATACTGCTGGAATGAGGTAAGCTGGATGAGACTGCATAGAGGAGCCACTGTAAAAAAAAAATAGAAATAAAGAGTGGTGCTGCTATTCGACAGAATAAGGTAGAGTGGAGTGAAGGCAGGAGTAATGTGTCCTGTTGCGTGTGTGTGCAGAGAGGGGGGTGTGTGTGAGAGAGAGTCTGATGCTGCTGTTCCTGCAGTGGTCCTGTAGTCACCCTCGTTGAGCTGGTGAGCCGGTCGGCTGCTGCTGTTGCTGATACTGCTGCAGGAGAGGATTCCTATCTGATGCTGGGATAGTCACAAATACTACAGCAGAGAGAGGCAAAGAAAGGTAGAGGTTTCCGCTAACCTTCCTGGGTTCCCCGCTTTGTTTTTACGAGCACAGAGGAGGAAAAAGACTCTTCAGGTGTGAAAAGGAACTCGGAGAGAGGAGGCGCACTTGGCTGGACTGCACTAGGGGGCGAAGGTAGGGGATCTTTACTTTTTTGGGGAGGGGGGTTCACACGGGGCATATAACAATGTGTGTATTTGTGAAAGACATGGGACACTATATAAAATGGAGTAGTTGCTTGAGTTTATGTATGGTGGTAAGATTAAATCTAAGAGGTTGTATTAAGTCTGAGTTGTGTGGGTACACTGCAGAGGTTTTGCCTACATTTAAGTGCACTAAATGTACTCATAGATAGAAAAAACAGAAATCAACTATATTGTTTGACCAGGCTACAGTCCCATGGAGGAAAACATCTAATTACTTAATTAAGCATATACTTATTTAGATATACAACTAGTACTACTGCTAATTATTGCAATAATTAGTTATTATTATTAAAAATAATAATGAAAAAACAATTAGTATACAGTAAAACACATTTTTAAATAGTAGTAGTAGTAATAATAATAATATAAAATAGTGTACAGTAAAACACTTTTTAAATAATAATGATAATTATTATTAATAATTGTTTACATTTTTATTATAAATTTTAATTAATTTAATTACAGTTACATTTATTTTATGGTTATTTTTATTATGCAGCAAAACAACAACTATTATAATTATCATTACTGTTATGAAAGGGTGCATTTTACTGTTTTTGTAAACAACTGGGAGATTTTGTAGACCTTTTATGTGATTTAAAAAATTTGAATATTTTTGGTGACTTTTATTTATTTATTTTTTAACCAACAGTTGTCATCATAGAAGGATATTTGGCTGCAGAATCAACCAATAGGGGTGTGAACCTACACTGGTCTCACGGTTTGGTTCGATTACAATTATCACGTCATCGATTCGGTTAAATTCGATATCACGATGCATTGACGATGCACTGCATCCTCAATTTTTGAATTTTAATTCATGTATACAATTTTGTCAATAAATCCAAGCAGTCAGATATATGAACTGAACCTGACGTGGTTTCTCAAGTTAGTAGCATTATCCCCTGCATATTTTATTTGTGTGTGACATGATTTACACACAGGCACAGCGTGTGTCTTCTCCAGGTTGTGCTTACCAGGTTGTTCATAAAAGCCGAAATGTGTCCAGATGTCGGCATTTAAAGTAGTTGGGACATTTTTAATTACTCGCACTCGCGTCTCGCCTCCCTCCGCCATTATATGCTACCGCGACAAAGCACGTATGCGACAAATGACGTCAGAAAAGCGTCAGTACGTTATAATCGGTTATGGTCTATTACTGAACCGATACCGAATCGTCCTCGCTCCTCGTCTGCATCGCGATGCATCGTAGAAACAATTAATTTCGACACCCCTATCAACCAATCAGAATCTAGTTTTCCAAAGATGGTAATGTAGTAAGAACTAAATTAAAGGATGTGTATTTACAATGTTTGGTTATGGTAGAAAGTGTGTATATGACTTTCCTTATTTTGGGAAGATACAGATAAACTTGAATGTAAAACAAAAGAAGTCTGTGTAGAAGTTTGTTTTATTTAAACGTTGCCAGATCAGATCTAGATTGTTGTGTTAATGCATGTTGCATTAAGCACCAAAATGTACTTAAGACTCACACACAAAATACTTAGACCTACAGTATACATAGCCAATTCTGCAATTGTCTCTCTCTCTTGCTCTGTCTCCTTCAGTTTAATGGAAGACAGATGGGTTGTTGGGTAATGAGAGCGAGGTTATGAATCTGAAATGCAAAAAGCAATTAGGATACACAAGGTCAGAAAAAAGTAAACTCTAGCCGTCGTTCCATCTGCTGTGGGTAGTGCGGGTAGCTGAGGTGCCTGTGTATAAATGCCCTCCTGCATGTGTGTAATGGCATCGCTCCCAGCTGATTGATTCCTCTTACATGCTTTGTTGAAATGGGACATGGTTGGTTACACTCAACATGGTTTTTGTATCAGTGTGTCTCAAACACATCAATTAGTTTCTGTTGCAGCTCGCTCTGCTGTCTGTCAGCTGATGCAGCAGGTACTGTGCTCCACAATAAACCAATACAAATGCACACATAACACAATTTATGAAGACAGATTGTAAATATTCAGAGTTGAATATCCTCCACAAGGTCACGAATGGAGTTGAGGGGGAGGAAACGATAATACTGCTAGACTATGCAGAGGAAGAGAAACTAATTAAAGTGGGCAAAGTGTCATGTGGACGATCTCGTGTGTTTGCTCTGCCGATGATCTATTCTCATGCATGGAATCTCTTACATTGTCAAGGCAACCACATTTCAATATGACTTCTCAATGAGTCAGCAGAATAGTTGGGACATTTTTAATTACTCGCACTCGCGTCTCGCCTCCCTCCGCCATTATATGCTACCGCGACAAAGCACGTATGCGACAAATGACGTCAGAAAAGCGTCAGTACGTTATAATCGGTTATGGTCTATTACTGAACCGATACCGAATCGTCCTCGCTCCTCGTCTGCATCGCGATGCATCGTAGAAACAATTAATTTCGACACCCCTATCAACCAATCAGAATCTAGTTTTCCAAAGATGGTAATGTAGTAAGAACTAAATTAAAGGATGTGTATTTACAATGTTTGGTTATGGTAGAAAGTGTGTATATGACTTTCCTTATTTTGGGAAGATACAGATAAACTTGAATGTAAAACAAAAGAAGTCTGTGTAGAAGTTTGTTTTATTTAAACGTTGCCAGATCAGATCTAGATTGTTGTGTTAATGCATGTTGCATTAAGCACCAAAATGTACTTAAGACTCACACACAAAATACTTAGACCTACAGTATACATAGCCAATTCTGCAATTGTCTCTCTCTCTTGCTCTGTCTCCTTCAGTTTAATGGAAGACAGATGGGTTGTTGGGTAATGAGAGCGAGGTTATGAATCTGAAATGCAAAAAGCAATTAGGATACACAAGGTCAGAAAAAAGTAAACTCTAGCCGTCGTTCCATCTGCTGTGGGTAGTGCGGGTAGCTGAGGTGCCTGTGTATAAATGCCCTCCTGCATGTGTGTAATGGCATCGCTCCCAGCTGATTGATTCCTCTTACATGCTTTGTTGAAATGGGACATGGTTGGTTACACTCAACATGGTTTTTGTATCAGTGTGTCTCAAACACATCAATTAGTTTCTGTTGCAGCTCGCTCTGCTGTCTGTCAGCTGATGCAGCAGGTACTGTGCTCCACAATAAACCAATACAAATGCACACATAACACAATTTATGAAGACAGATTGTAAATATTCAGAGTTGAATATCCTCCACAAGGTCACGAATGGAGTTGAGGGGGAGGAAACGATAATACTGCTAGACTATGCAGAGGAAGAGAAACTAATTAAAGTGGGCAAAGTGTCATGTGGACGATCTCGTGTGTTTGCTCTGCCGATGATCTATTCTCATGCATGGAATCTCTTACATTGTCAAGGCAACCACATTTCAATATGACTTCTCAATGAGTCAGCAGAAACCAATGCATTGGTCCCAAACAACATGGTTGTCAATCTTTCTACAGCACAACGTGACTGCAGGAGCCTTCTGACAGCTAACTTTACTGTAAATCCTTTTTGAAGATATTGCTGAATTTGGCCACAAAGTGCACTGTAAAAACTGATTTATAATCTTTTACAGACGACTAGCACAGAAATTTGCACAGTCAGTCAAATAAGGTAATTTAAAATTGAGATTGTGTTTTCTCTTCAAATGGTGCTGAAAGGGACAGAGTTGGTTGGTTAGGACTGGATATTGATACATATTCAATTTGATTCTCTCAAGCTCTCATTTAGATTTGATTTTAAATTCAGTTTTTGTTTCATTTGGGTGTATTGCAGTCCATTTTGTTTACAAATGAAAGGAATTTTCCCTCTTCTAATGTTTCACATTGTACAGGGCAGAGTAGCACACTGATTCAAACTGGAAACTCATCTGGCTCATTGGAGTTATTGTTTATGAATTGCACGACATTGATTGTTGATTGTGTTTTTTTTTTTTGTGTGCAGCCTGCAAGGACAACGTCTCAGGTTACTTGTGTAACCATGGTTCCCTGAGTAGAAAGGTCATAATACATGAAGCTCAGAAGTAAACGAAAATGGTTTGTTGCTGTGTAATCTGTGTTCAGAGTCGCACTGGAATCAGGTCTTAGATGGGACGATGCTGCCAGTATGGCCTCCTATAGACTGCAACATGACTTCAGACTTGAGTTCACCATTTCCTTGTCTAGGGCAGTTTTTCCCAACCACCGTGCCGTGACAGGTTGTCAGTTGTCAACTCCTATTTGATGGCTCCAAGTCGTCTTTTATTTCCTGAAGCAAATTAAAAATAACATGGCTTGGCAAATGATATGTTCGGATAATGTGTTCTTCTGGCATTCAAAATAAATTAATTATGTGTGTAAAAATTGTCTCCCTTCTACCCTTCTCTGCGTTGCCTCCTGCTAGCAACAATAATTGCAGCCATTTCAAGTGCAAAATAGTTTAAGACATGCTTTTTTGGCATTAAATAATGGCGCAAATGCCAGTAATTTGACGAGCGCAAACGTTAGTAAATCTCGTTGCGTGATTCATTTGAATACGGTCCTCCCATAAATTTTGCATCTGAAAGAGAAACTCCTAGAAATGCATATTCAATAAGGTCAGGTGCAAAAATAACTGTCCACGCCTTTTTAGCGCTAAATCTTCTAAATCTAAAACTGACCCTAAACCTCCTAATTCCATTGGATCCTCAAACTGTCAGCAAAACCTCGTAACTCCACCGCTGCCTCCATTTAGATTGATGCGTAGTGCACAGTCTGGATATGAATCTCTGCTTGTTTGCAATGCAAAGATAAATAAATAACTGACAAAGTACAGTGTTTTCTTTACTTAAGAAACACTATGTCTATGAAGACAATTTTATTTTGAAGAGCTGAGACGAGTTAGCATTTGCAGTCTAGTTGTAGCCAATATACTTTTGTATGTTTTAAAAATCCTGTGCATAGCAGTTCATCTTTTATGAAATGAGATTTTGGCCAAATGTATTAAACAAGAAGAAAATCAGAGCTCCCATATAGCTACAATAAAATGTATAACTTGTAAGTTGATGAAAACGTAATGTGATTAACTTACTGCCTCAGATGCGGCCGTTTTAATGATGGACAAAACATAGATCTCTGTCATTCGATGGT